TGCCGGCGAGAGCCCCCCAGCCAGACAACCTTCCCTTTTCCATCCTACGGTCAGCGAGGATTATCGGATGCCGGCGAGAGCCTCCCGGCCACACAACTTTACCTTTCCGTCATACGTTCGGAGAGGCTTACCCGTTCAATGCCGTGAGTATTGAGCTCCTGTCGGACATCGGCGAGAGCCTCCCGGCTAGACAACCTTTAACGTTAGACATTCTCACAAAATGTATCCACACCCTCCGCACAGGTTACCAGCCTCTCAGTACAGCCCGCACACTCGACGCCATGTTCATTCTAGCCTTTTTCGGTTTTCTTAGATGCTTGGAACTCACCATCTCTTCCAAATTCGATCCAAAAAATCAACCCGACCGTCTCAGACCTAACCGTACTCGATAGCGAAACAATTTATTTCTTAATCAAACAAAGCAAGACAGACCAAGCCAAGAAAGGTAATTTCAGCTACATTTTTAATCCCTCTTCTCCAATCCAACCATACCAGTCCATCTTCGAGTACCTCCGCCTTATAAATTCTCAGGCTAAATTCCCCCACGAACCACTATTTTTAGACGACTCCAAAAAACCCGTCACTCGCTTCTGGTTCCAAAAACTTCTCGGATCAGTCCTGCAATTGTCGGGCATCCCAGCAAAGAATTTCTCCAGCCTTTCTTTTCGCATCGGGGCAGCAACATCAGCAGCCCAAAAAAGGCCTCTCCAAGCAGCAGATCCAAACTCTAGGAAGATGGTCTTCAGAAGCTTATCAAAGCTACATCAGAAATAACCAGTTTCACATCAAAAAAGCCCACCAAACCCTCATTGGTCATCAAACCATCTAACGTAATCGGTGTAAAAAAAATAATTAAAAAAAACACTTTTTCCATCCTACAGTCGGCGAGGCTTACCCGTCCGATGCCGTGAGTATTGAGCTCCCATCGGATGCCGGCGAGAGCCTCCCGACTAGACTCGGATGCCGGCGAGAGCCTCCCGGCCACACAACTTTACCTTTCCGTCATACGTTCGGAGAGGCTTACCCGTTCAATGCCGTGAGTATTGAGCTCCTGTCGGACATCGGCGAGAGCCTCCCGGCTAGACAACCTTTAACGTTAGACATTCTCACAAAATGTATCCACACCCTCCGCACAGGTTACCAGCCTCTCAGTACAGCCTGCACACTCGACGCCATGTTCTCTCTAGCCTTTTTTGGTTTTCTTAGATGCTCGGAACTCACCATCTCTTCCAAATACGATCCAAAAAAGGCCTCTCCAAGCAGCAGATCCAAACTCTAGGAAGATGGTCTTCAGAAGCTTATCAAAGCTACATCAGAACTAACCAGTTTCACATTAAAAAAGCCCACTCCTCCCCCATCGGCCGGTAGGGCTCACCCGTTCCAACGATGTGAGCTCCCATTGAGCATCGGCTCGAGCCCTCCCGACCGGGCGCCCCAAACCACGTAGTCCAATACCAGCAGCCGGTAGGGCCTACCCTTCCAACGCATAAGTCCCTCTCACCTGAGTACGTAGGCTCTTCCGGCTTGCCAACCATGCGACTTCTCAAAACATCAGCCCCTGCCAGTTCACAGTGCCTATTTTGGGGGGGTTCTTAGTCTGGCGGCTGTCCTTTGCTCAATTGCTTTTTTGGGGGGTACTCTAGGTTCGGGCCATTCCCGAGCTCTGAGCCCTTCCCCAGACAGCACGCCAAATATGCATTACCATACTTCAGCTAATTATATGTAAGCGTGAACTCGTGAAATTATGTTTTATTAACAAGGTTCGGGAGGAGCGCGTCAGATACTTAGCCTAATTAACACAGGTGGCGCGCACTCAAGTTAATCAACTCCATGATATAAATACAGCTGACTTACCTCTATCCATTGACGGTTTATAAGCATCCCTCCTCCACCCCATCTCCTCACTTCGAGTTCATACTACACTTATTCAGGGGGTACTCTAGGTTCGGGCCATTCCCGAGCTCGGAGCCCTTCCCCGGACAGCACGCCAAATATGCATTACCATACTTCAGCTAATTATATGTAAGCGTGAACTCGTGAACTAAATGAAGTCTGTGAAGTTTAGCGGAGAGCACCGCAAAGCAGAAGGCTCATGCACTTCTGACAGCAAAATGGAAATATTTCCATGGCTTTCTAACATTTACACATGGAGAATATACCTGTGAAATGTAAGTTATGCATTTGAGGAAAACAGCACATCTCAAACACAGTAAACAGTTCTTCTCTGTCAGCGGCACATGCAGCCTTTCTGTCAGAGCATCTGACAGGCCGAGCCGCTTTAAACTGAAACCATAAACTATAGACTACTATATCTTGCGAGTTTTTTAAAAGCCCTTCATATAAAGCTTGTCACATGTTTAGAACAAATATTATGCACTTTCAATTTAAGCATTCAAAAGATTTTAACAGTTCAAGAGCAAAGAAATAGCGAAAAAGAACTAAATTTGGTAATTGTGCGCTGTTTTATGTGCTCGTACACAGGGAGATGCGTGTCCTCATAAGTAGTCTCAACTAAGTTAAAAACAAAACGTTTTAAATGAACGTCAACTAAGAAAATCTGTGTCAAAACCGTGCATTTGGTCTGAAAGTGAGAGTAGCTTGCTATCAGTGTTATTAATATTAAAGAACAAAAGAAAATTCACTCTGCTCAAATTTGCTCTTGACTGAATAACTTCATCTTTAATAAGGATTAATCTATAAATATGTGGTAAAACTTTAGATATACTGCTCAGCAAAATTAACAGTCTCACGCAGGCGGTACATGCAGCATAGGTTGTTTTGTGTAAAAACATGAATGAAGGTAGAGTGCTGAAAGAAATTAAATGAATGTATGAATTAATTAATTCTATGAATGCATGAGAGAACTGACTGTCTTCAGAAAAGTTTCTATGATATTTGCCTTTCATCTTCCCTCCGTGTAATGCCTAATAAAGCAGTGTTAAAAAGCGCAGCACAGCTTTTTTTACAGCGGTTACCGGGGAAACCTCTCTATTGCTGCTGTTCCATCAGCGCCACCTGCTGTCAGACAGTGGATTTACATTTTCATTCAGCCCGTCTGCCTTTTTTGGTCAAATCTAGTAGATAACGTTATGTAAGTCACCAAACCAATATTTTTTGATTGTTTAAAATCCGGCCATCATTTTTAATTTTAATGTTTGTTCAAACAAAAAGTGCATAGTGCTGCTAATTTTATTTATTGTTTGTTGGTTTTCAACATTAAACAGTAACTTTATTCTGTGATTTGAAAATACGCGTGTGCACGTTCATTGCAGAACACAATTTATAATTCATCTCTCAACCGCTTGTAAATCGGTGTAAAAATAGTTGCAGACAAAAGCCTGTGTATGTGTAATTTTTAATTGATTAACTAGACTATTCTAAATGTGTTGATGTCCATTGCTTTGTGCCATTAAACTGGTTTTAACTTGTATTTTTCTTCTTTAACCTCAGACCTGATGGCACTGAAAGAGGAGAGTCAAGAACTGAATGAAACCGAAGAGAAAGATCAAAATGATTTCAAAACTGAAGAAAAATTGATTAGTTGCTCACAGGATGAAAATACTTCCTCACCAAAAAAAGCTCAAAAAACACAAACTACAAACCTTAATTCTCACATGAGAATTCATACTGGAGAGAGACCTTTCACCTGCCAACAGTGTGGAGAAATTTTCAATCAAAAAGAAATCCTTGAAGTCCACATGAAAATTCACAATGAAAAGAAGCCATTCATATGCTCTCAGTGTGGAAAGTGTTTTACACAGAAAAAAAACCTTAATGCCCACATGAGAATTCACACTGGAGAGAGACCTCACACCTGCAAACTCTGTGGAAAGAGTTTTTTACGAAATGGAGGTCTTAAGATTCACATGAGAACTCACAGTGAAGAGAAGCCATTTGAATGCTCTCAGTGTGGAAAGAGTTTTACACTGAAAAAACTCCTTAATGCCCACATGAGAATTCACACTGGAGAGAAGCCTTACACCTGCGAACAGTGTGGGAAGCGTTTTGGATTAAAAGGAAACCTTCATACTCACATGAGAATTCACACTGGAGAGAATCCATTTGTATGTGATCAGTGTGGAAAGAGTTTTATACAGAAAAAACAACTTTATTCCCACATGAGAATTCACACTGGAGAGAAGCCTTACATCTGTGATCAGTGTGGAATGAGTTTCAGATATAAAGAAAGCCTTAATTATCACATGAGGATTCATTCAAGAGAGAACAGTTTTATATGTCATTAGTGCAAAAGGAGTTTCACAGACAAGAAACACTTAAAGAATCAAGTTAAAATTCACATCGGAGAGAAACCTTTCATGTGCAATCATTGTGGAAAGAGTTGCTCAAGAGAAAGGCCACCTTAAGGATCACATGAGAATTTACACTGGAGCGAAACCTTTCACATGTGAACCGTGTTAAATTAATTTTACATATAACAAAGACCTGGAACATCATTTGCAAACTCATTCTGGAAATAAATGGCCATTTTCCTCCGTGTGACGAGTTTAGGAAATAGGAGTTTCTGCAATTCATTCTGGAAGACAATTAAATTGTAGTCAGTGTAATGTTTTTTTACTTTTTCACATAGATATATACATAAAAACTCTGTTTGTGTTATTTGTTAAAGAGTATGACAAGAAAAATGCTGTGTGAAATCAAGGCTACATTCGCACCGCAGCTGAATGCAGGCTACATCTGACTGTCACCTTCATGATGACTACTTCTTTTGTTTGCATCCTTCATCTCTTTATACTTAACCATAAGGCTTTTTTCTTTTCTTTTGTGCATATGTACAAATGTGTCCATACCTATCTTCTTTGCTGTAGTTTCAAATATTAAGCAGTTGCAGTAGATGCCCTCTAATTTCCACTATGTAGAGGTGTCACTCAATTTCTTGTGTTGATTCCTCTGAATCAAAATATTCATCTAACTTCTACCTCTCTGGGAAGTGCAACAATGTAACTGGAAGATTATAAATAAATCAACATAAACTGAACAAAATGTCTTGTTTCCATTGATTCTAGGTGTTTTTTAGCTTATTATTTAGACAAGTTGATTTCAATTTAATGTTGTAATATCTGGATGAGTTTACTGATTGTGGAACCTTAGGAACCAGGCAACTTTACATTTATGATCAGGAAAAGCATATAAATATTATTCTAGTTATGCTCCACTCGGAAATATGTTTTTTATCAGCACAGATCATTCTTTGTTGTTTTTTGTATATATATATATATATATATATATATATGTATATGTACTGTATGTACATATACTTACTGTTTCCTTTCAAACAATCCTGTGTGAGCAGATGTGCAGAAAGCCCTGTTAATCTAAATGCTGGGCTCATCCAGAGTCAGAGGAAATGAGTGTGCAAGCTGGGCTGTAGGGATGAATGAGATCTGAGATTTACACAGGAGCAAGACTGTAACAGCCTTTGAATGAGATGAGCAGTATCTTACATTGAATATGACAGATGACAGGCAGCCAGTGTAGTGTATGTAAAATGTGAGTGATGTGAGAGAATTTCTTGGAATAGTTGAGCAGCAGAGTTCTGAATGTATCCAAGTTTATTAAACCTCTTTATGGGCAGGCCATAGAAAAGAGAGTTTCAGTTGTCTAGTCGGAGGTGATAAAAGTGTGTACAATAATTTCTGCACCTTTGATATTTAAAGTAGGATGAAGGCAAGCAATATTATCAAGGTATAAAAAGGTTCATTTGATAAGTGAGGAAATGTGATGAATAAAAGGAGAGAGAAGGATTGAAAATTAGACTAAGATTTGGATGGCCTAAGACACCAGCAATATTAACCAATTGAATAGAGAAGCTACCGAACAGCAGTGTTTGGTCAGTGTTACAGAAGTTATAGGACACCCAAGTATTTATATCATCAACGTGCAGATATGGAATTGGTGGGGATGAGAGCAGTAGGTTTATTCTTTGCGGACCAAGGAGAAAACCCTGTGGCACACCATAAGAAACAGGTGCAATAGTGAACTTGAATGGTAAAGAAATAAACCAGTAGAGATCAGTTACAGAAATATCAATAGCAGAAACATGGGAAATGATTGTACCGTGCAGTGTTAATTTTGACATCGAATTTTGATTTAGTTTTAGTCATAGTCTTTTGACTAAAATGCCATTTAGTTTTAGTACTCTGAATTTTTTTTAGCTTTAGTCTAGTTTTAGTCGACTAAATATCATAAGATTTTAGCCGACTAAATCTACAGTAAATTTAGTCGGCTTAAATCTAATGGGTTTTCAAATTCACTAGGTTTGATATTAAGGTTTTATCATGATAGACACCGATTTAACTGCGGTGACACACAACATGCCTT